ATTCTCTTTTCCCAGCCTTTTTTAAAATATAGCTTTACTTTTTTTGTAATTTTTTGTATTTTTATTAAACATTTTTAAGAAGGTACGTAACTGATGAAGAAACAGGAAACAAGAATAAAAAATAAAATGCCTGGGAATAGACAAGGGATTTTAAAATGTCACAGGGATTATAACTGCCAATGTAACCTTAGTTAATTATGAGGAACTGAATATATTATCTTAAAAAGACTGAAAATTGGTTTTAAGCCCTACGTTGAGCGTTAATAACAAGACCCACGGTCAACCCAGTGCAATTTATTATAAAAGGTAGTAAATTCAGTGCATGTTACTGGAAGTCTATTCTGATTTAGATAGCCTGCTAAATTGAAATATAGAGTCTAGACATGGAAAAAAACATATTTTGGATGTGGTGCAAATCCAATTGTGGCCTAGGAACGATTCCCTTTCTCCCTCTCTACCCCCAGCAGGAGACAGCATCAACTTCACTGGCCTCAAAAGCCTCCAGCTTCTTTTCTCCTAGGTCCTCAGCCTTCTGTGGTAGACTGCTTCTCACCATGGAAGTTCCACTGGCCTCGATCGCTGCTTCTAGGCTTTCTTCCTTTAAAAAGGACGGGAGTCAAAAGGGCACCTTTCTCTTTTCAAAGCTGGGTTTCAGCTGAGGGTGCCGAAGGTCCTCTGAGCACAGGGACCTTCCACCAGCTCGGCTTCCAACTCTTTCCTGCGGTCCCAGAGGGGGATCTTGGCTGCGGAAAGTTTGAGGAAGGGGCCAAATTTGGCATCGAGAGCTTTGCCAGGAGCAGAGGACACTGTGACACCAGTATTGATGCGAGGAATAGCAATTAGGGAACAGATCTGTCACTTGGAGGAGGAAAATCAATGCAGGTTTTATCTTCTATTCCCTCCTCCCATTTCAGCCATGCCCAAACTTGAGCAAAATTAGAGGGGGGAAAACCTATCGCTTTATCTGTGCTTTCTGTTCCAGTAATAGGTGTGCAACTTTGGAAGAGGGGCCTAGGACCCCATTTGGAGATGTGTTCACACAACATGCCCAACCAGGGTAAGACCCTTATGATTGCACTCACACATCAAGCTTGGTTAGGGTTAACCTTGGTTAGTTCCCCCCCCCCCCCCCCCTAGCCTGTCATGTGAAAACAGCTTTTTGAGGGTTGTTCTGTGTGCAGCATGAACCCAGAGGATGAGTTAGGTCAGGAATTGAGTTGAGCGTGTTGTATGAAGGCAGTTTTGGTGTTGTAGTGACCCGTAAGAGCCAGTTCCTAAAGCGGGCAAGGCAGTTTTACAAAGTAGGGGGGCTCAGAAGTAGGTGAAGCCAGAATAGGCAGAACCAGAAGTAGGTGGAGCTAGGATGAAGCCACATTTACTCCCTCCCCAATAATTTGCAGTTCCCTACTCCACTCTGGATCAGCCCATTAACCCTCAGAGGGTTCACCCAAAACAGATCCAGAGTTAAATTAAATCCATCCTGTGTAATGGAAACCTCTACACCAGTGTTTCTCAACCTTGGCAACTTTAAGATGTGTGGGCTTCAACTCCCAGAATTCCCCAGCCACACAGAGGAGACATTCATTGGCTGCAGTAGCCAAGCCACACCCACTAGTGTCTAGCTGGCCAATGGGGAAGGGTTGTGCAGCATTTCTCAACCTTAGCAACCTAATTTAAGATGTGTGGACTGGCTGGGGAATTCTGGGAGTTGGAGTCCACACATTTTAAAATTGCTAAGGTTGAGAAACGCTGGTGTTAACCAGTGCAATCTTGGTGGAAGAACTAAGGAGGTGCATGGGGAATCTGTGATTCCCAAACTCCTTGACCCAGTTCCTGGGTTTGTGTGCTATGGAGATTTGACTCAGTTAGTGACTGGCTGGGTTAAGTATAATAGTGGGAGCCAGGTAATTCCCAAATTAATTTTTCATATTCATTACAGAATGGGGAATGGGAGGCTACATGGTGAGCTGGCAGAATCACTGGTAAGATTTGTCTGGGCCAGCATAATGCCATTCTCTGAGCCAGAGAACAACAATGGGCATTTTTAAAACACTGCAGAACAAAAACAGAGTTTTCAGATTTATTTTTCAGCCATCAAGGGCCAGAGTCATCCAGCGTCATGACTAGAGGGGGTAATCCCTTCCCTAACTCAACCCTTCTTTCGCAAAGGATGTTAGCGATGCTGCAGTGGTTCCTGCACCGAGAGGGGGTTGGACTAGGTGATCTTCGTGGTCCCTTCCTACCCTATGAGTCTATGATGCCTAAAGCGTATCTTCTTTTCAGGAGCAAAAAACTCCTTTTGCCAAAAACCTGTTAGAACCAGAAAGGAGGAAACCTGCAGTTTAAGGAGGAACAGAGGTACGGAGCAGGTGTCAAATTTATTATAATGATTATTACATCTTTGAATCCAGTTCTTGATACAAATATACACACGTTTCTAAAAGGTCTTGGGGTAGGGGCAGAAATCTCTCCCGATTCCCTTTGCCAAAGTGCTTTCAAAATGGAGAGGTCCCATCCCCAAAAGCACATGCCCCACTGCATTTGGGGGGACGGAGTACAGCCGAAGGCTTGCTGGCAGACCGGCTCTGGCCGCTGAGAAGGACGAGGTGATCTGTGAAGACAAACCACAAGAGGAGACGTTAAGCTGGAAGCAAGAGATTCAGGACCTCCAATGAACCATTCTTAACCCGTGGAACTGACTGCCACAAGATGGAGGGGTCCTTTCTCCGTTTTTCTCCCATCTGACTTTTCCAAGGAACTCTTCCTCATGATGGAACATGTCCCACCCTCACAGATTCCCACAACAGACTAGTCTAGGCCCAAATGGGGCTGAGTAATTTGTGATTCAAGATGTGGTGGGACTCTAAGACTGTCATGTGAGCCAAACCACCCGATTAGAGCAGACTATGGTTCCCTTATCTGGGCATGACCTGTCCTGGGAGGGTAGACATGGTGTGCTTTTGACCTCGGTTAAAGAGTTTGATGCCTTGTGTGGACGTAGTCAAGAGGAAGGGTGATTCCTCCCCTAATAATAAAGATTGGTTGGATAGAAAGAGATCAAAATTGCGTAGAATTTCAAAATCCAAACTAAAAGGCACCCAGAACTTAATCCACCAAACCTGACTGCTTTAGAAAAGAAGGTGGCCTAACCCTTTGATATGGCTCCACCTGGAGACAGCTGAATGGATGAAAAACAACTGGAATACAAATTTTGTGACTTAAAAACTGAGGTTGAAAAATTATGGATGAAAAAATGACATATTGAAATAGTGGTAGCCTAGACTCTCTGTACATCAGGGTTTCTCAGCCTTGGGAACTTTAAGATCTGTGGACTTCAACTAGTTATGCTGGCTGGAGAATTCTGGGAGTTGGTCCACACATCTTAAAGTTCCCAAGGTTGAGAAACACTGAATTAGACATTGGGAAGAACTTCTTGATAGAAACAGCTGTCAGTCAGTGGAATAGTGGTTTCTTCCCCTTCACTAGAGGTTTTCTAGCAGCAATGGTGTAGTGAATCCTGTAGTGTGCAGGGGTTGGACTTGATGACCTCTTAAGTCCCTTTCAACTCTATGATTATATGATCTGGTCCAGCCTTTAGTACTCCAAGGCACATGCATCTAGGGGGACAAGAGCCCATTGAAAGCCTCCTCCCACCAACCTTTCCCAGCAGCCAACATTGATGGTCTTCTGCCTATGATTCAGAAAGACAGAAAGTTTAGGATTAACTAGAACCTGTTGGGTCATCCTTTGAGAGAAAGGATGATGTGCAGTCTGATGTGACCAGAATAAACATTAAATTTTAGGCTGATTGTATTTTTTTACCCCAATGCTGAACGGTTCCATGATCATCTCAGAAGAGTATAAATCATAAATAGAAAAATAATTGTAGTGGCAAACGAGCTTCAATAATAAGTCAATATTTACTTTCCTAAACAGATCAACAGAATGACCATGGGCGGGCAAAAAAGCTGTGGGAGCAGAAGCAACTTCAGACTTCCTGCCGGCTTCCCCATTGACATTGCTTGTGGGAAGCTGGCAGGGAGTGTCGGAAATCACGATCCCGTGACCATTCGGACGCTGCAACAGCCCCAACTTTGCAAATAAACCTGGCCTGAACATCGTGGAAATTTCACTTCCACAGGAGTAATAGGTCCTGGATTCTTTATACATTCTTTAAGTTAGCAAATTTTAAGTATCTTGAAAATTGTTGCGGTATAATGCACCGTTTGGGCTAACTTAAGGGTGCCAACAGATAAACACAATGAGAGTTTTAGTAGTATGATGATAGTATATTGATAGCTATGGGATGGGCTGATCCTACCTGAACCTGTCCAGTCCCCTTTTCAAACCAGGTGAGAGCAGACAGAGAGAGGGCAAAGGGGGAAAAGCAGAAACCATTTGCAACCCTAACCTCGTGCTCAGATTCCAGGCAGTCCACTGAGCTGATCTAGTCTCATAGCTTCTCATCAAAAACCCCATCGTCCACAGCCTGTACTTCTTCCTCCTGGATTTCTGAAATAAAAACAGCTAAGGGGTAAATCGAATGCAAATGGAAAGAGATGTTCCCCCCCCCCCCAAGATCCGCCACCTCCCAAGATCCAGACTAGTGGCATTCACATAATGCATTTCACCTGGTTGCTCGTGATAACCCATTTTCTGGCTTTGAATGAAACCAAACCCATCAAACTGCAAAAGAATAAACCGAGATTAACTCTAACCTGTGTGGCCTGCCATGCAAATGCATCAGCCAAGTTTTTACTTGGTTGAGCATGTCAGGAGAACACGGCCTCTGGCTTGATTTGCATGTTGGGTGAGCAGACCTGGAATGGTAGTTTGCACCACTCTCCGCCAATCAGAATTCACCCCATTTCTCTTCTCTTACTTGCAAAGGGAAGCAAATTTACTGGACTGAATGAGAAGGTGTAGGGCAGTGTTTCTCAACCTTGGGGACTTTAAGATGTGTGGACTTCAACTCCCAGAATTCTGGGTTCAGCAAGCCACCCTTGCTGGCTGGGGAATTCTGGGAGTTGAAGTCCACACATCTTAAAGTTCCCAAGGTTGAAAAACACTGGTGTAGGGAAATGCAAAGCAAAGCTGGAGAATTTCTCTGCCCCACACTTCTTTGAACAGCAGAGGGAGGTGTTTTACTACAATTCAAGTACCAAACAATATTGCTAGTAATTAGAAGATGCTACTTCTTTACTAGCAGCACTGGCATAACTAATCGTGATTAGTTTTATCTTGGGTAGTTACATGATGGCTTAGTGTGTTGTAGAAGCCCACCCTGTTTGATTATTTATTGATTTGATTTTTATGGCTGCCCAGTTGTCAATCACAATAGCCATAAACAACTCCAACTTCATAAATATGGCGATTTTAGATTTAAGTCTTTTTTCTCGACTGATGTCTTTTAGATCTAACCACCAGTTTATAGCCAGAAATATAGATGTAATGGGGAATTACAGGGTGATAGTATCGGTACTAACCACAATTGTTATTTTAATCTTAACAGTTACAGTATTAGCGGAAATAAGCATTTTGTTCTGTTCTGCTCTTTGACCATTTTGACTATTTTCTTCTAATCAAATTGTTGAGCTGATTGCGTACAGTAATGTTACGCTGGTCAATGACCAAAAATAAATATCTAGATTTGATTTGATTCAACTGCCACATCTGGATCCTGAGCTAACCCATTTTTCTGGGTTTGCTCAATATACTGAAACATACATTAACCAAACCTAGCTGGGTTTGCCCAACTTTCTAAAGCCCATGCACATGGATGGGGTGAGCGCAAACGTCACCCAGGTTCAAACCAGCCAAGCTTGAATGTGCTGCAGTGCAGATCCCTAAATCTTCAGCTGACCGGGGTGTGTGAAAACGAGCGAACAGCTTAACTCACTAGCCAGGTTCAGCTTGTGGTGTGAACCCGCAGATGTTTCGTTGCCACAGCCGGGAAGACAAGGCTCTTCACCCCAAATCGAGGCGGATCGTTTCCTCTACCACCAATTCCTGCCCAGCGAACACACCGCTTCGTCTAAAGGAAGCAGCTGTCAGGAAACCCAAGTGGGCTGGTATGTTACTGGGGAAGGAAGCAGATTTGTCTCACAGGGCGAGGCCACGGGGCGCAGCGATGTTGAAAGCCACATGTGGACAAGTGTTAAAAAATAAAAAGGGGTCTGCAGTTGCCCAGAGTTAGAAATCCAAAAAGAAGGAGTTCCATGCCAAGAGAGAACAGGCAAGTCCAAAATGGCAGAGAAGGAGAGACTGATCAGTCGTGGAAAACATAAAATCCATGGAAGCTGTAAATTGGGGGCGGGCAGCAAGGGCTGCATTGCAGGGAGGAGAAGGAAACAGGGAGCCGGGCACCGGTTCTCTCTCCAGCACCCCATTTCAATGTGGTTTGTTCCTTATTAAGGTCACTGGCCTCTTCACTCAGGGTGGACTTTCATCTGCTCTGCTTAAGTATGACAAATACCAAATGCAAGATCTGCAGAGGGAAAACTGCAAAATTGCAGTCTCTTTGCTTCTGACGCCTGGCAGCTGGGTCACGCCAGAGGCCCAGACGAGAACTCCCGTTCTCTTGGTCTCGGAAAACAGAACAGGAACTCTCTGCAACATGCAGAACTGGGTGGAAGGAAAGACCGAGGGGCTGTATTTTCACACTGTGCAAAGCTTGGTTACTTAAACCTTGATTGACTGTTTTGTTGCTTTGCAAGCTGTGCCAGTTCCACCAGTTTGGTTTGTTTAAGGTGCAAGATATTGTGTGAATCCAGAATGTGGATTCAGACAACAGACTAACTCAGGAAGGAAGGAAGATTAAAACTAATCAAACTCAGCACGTTGTGCAAGCGCAGGTTCATTCATTCACTCATCTTTTTGGGTAGGTTATGTGGACATAGCCAACAATATCTGGACTCCCTGTAGATTTTGTGAGCAAGCCAGGATCATCCCGGAATAACATTTTCTAAGAGAACCCAACATCCCTCCACAGAGCTTTCTAAATAGATTTAGTAGTCCTTAAGAGGTGACAGGACCTTGTTGACCCTGGTGGATCTCAAACAACCCAGAATGGTGAGACCTGGTTAGTGTCTGGAAATCTGAGGGCTGAGAAATCAAAAAAACATCTCAAAAGAAGGCAGACCACTTTTCTATTGTTGACAAACAGTCAAATTAAGTTCAGGGAAAAGTTCCCACTGCATCTCAACTTTTTTTTCCTTACCACTTACCGCCAACAGGCAAAAGGTGGAACAAAGGTGGCAACTGTGAAATCTTGTGTAAAGCTGGGATCTCCTCCCCTCCCTATTTTTCCAAAATCTCCAAGGTTCTGGCAATTTCCACAGTGGAACTCACTGCCACCAGCTCGCATGCATGGGGGAACTAGGTGCAGTTGGGGAGGGGGTTATCAGTGGCAATTAGCCCTGATTTGGCATGGAATCTCGTTGCGGTCAGGACCCCAATGTTGGGCTTGGAGGGATCCCCTGTGATCTCCTTCCTCCCTCTACGTCTCTCGGAGGCAACCTGGAGTCACTGACCATACCTGTATGTCGCAGGGATGTCCGGCCGGGACGAGGCAGGGAGAAACTAAAGGACCGGGCTGGCAGGGATACAGATCCGTCAAGGCTGACGCTCTTGGTGCGTTTGCGGCACTCAACCGAGAGCAGATCCCGGCACTGTTTGTGGCAATTCACCCCGCAGGCTGAGAGGAACGAGAGGAAAGAGTCGAACAGAGCCAGCATCAAGCCTGTAGCCCAGCGTTCTCAACCCTGGAGAACTCCAGATGGATAGACCTCAACTCCCAGAATTCTTGGCAATGGGCATGCTGCCTGGGGGATTCTGGGAATTGAAGTCCACGCGTGTGCAGCGGCAATTTCAACTCCCAGACTTCTTAGCAATGGCCCTGTTCGCTAGCTAGGAATTCTGGGAGTTGACATCCACACAGCTGGAAGTTGCCAAACATAAGCAAGTCCTCTCCAGGGAGTTGCTGTTAAAATTATGGGGAGACTAGAGGAAATGTCTTCAAAGTACCTCGACACTTTAGTCCTTGCTTGTAGAGGCCCAGGATCTGGAAAGAGGAAGAGAAAGATCAGTTGTGGATGCATTGATTATGTCTATCACTTCTGGATTTTTTTTATGGTTCAGGAGCTTGGCTTCAAATGCAGAAAAATCAGTTTTCCTAAACTCTTGCACGTGGAGCCAAGTCCCTTATTCACTCTCTAATGCTTTAATACGGCTGGAGCTAAGCGGCATTTCCCTGGAGGACCGACCAAGACTGCCTGCTCAGGTTTGGGCTGAAGCAAATCTTTGGGGAACATCCTTGGTCCGCCTCACCTTGCTAGACAGGTTTTCTTCCACCCTAAGAAGACAGATTAATGAGGATTTGGTCTTTCTTTGCCAGCGTTCTCTGCTCTGGCAGAGTTTTGATAAAACTTTCGTTGAACCAAAGCAGAGGATTTGGGATTTATGGCCATTAACAGCTTCTGGATTTTCTTGCGATTTTTAAAATGATTTCATTATATTTATTGTATTATTGGTCTTGGACCGTGAATAAACTTTGATTGATTGGTTGGTGGCATACAGAGTTAGTTGTCCTGACCAGTTTTAAAATATAAGTCTTAGCCTTACAGGGCTGCCAAATCAGACTCTCAAGGCGGCTAACGCTAAAGGTAAAACTTCCCTTGAGATGGGCTTGACGCTCAGGGGCTTATGGACAGGTCTGTAAAATTTTCTTGGCAGCAATCGCAGAATCGTGGACTTGAAAGGGACCCTGAGGATCATCCAATTCAGTGTTGTTCGAACTTGGCAACTTTAAGATGGGTGGACTTCAACTCCCAGAATCCCCCAGCCAGCCATGCTGGCTGGGGAATTC